AGGAAACATATTCAAAACTTAATATTTAGAAATCAATAAATTATGTAATATATTCCAAATCAATTCAATATCACAAGTAATAATTTTCAATTCACTAGTAAAATAAATATCCAATTCAATAGTAAAATTCATTGGCAAAATAAATATTCTAATTCACATTTGGTTTTTAAATCATCAAAATCAAGGATAACAACAGCAACCACAAAGTGTGTTACACCTTCAACACTTTTCACAATTGGGCCTAAGAGATCCATCCCTCATTGGGCAAATGGCCATGGAGCAACCAAGTTTATGAGCTCTTCTACTAGTTGATAAGTCAAATGTGCAAAAAACTGGCACTTTGGGTAGCTCTGTACAATTTTTTGGCATCTTCCTGCATATTAGGCCAATAGTACCCTTATCTAAGTACCTTATGAGCCAAAGTTTGAGCTCCCACATGGCTTATACATATGCCTTCATGCACTTCTTGAAGGGTGTACTGAGCCTCATAAGGTGTCAAACACCAAAAAAAAGGGAGTTAATATGACCTCTTACACAAGATGTCATCAATCAAAGTATATGGTGATGCCTTCCTTCATAGCCTCATTTCCTCTTGCTTATCATCTAGGACTGAGCCATTCGGTAAGTAAGATTTGATGGGGTCTATCTAGTTCAAAGATTCTGGATTTGTACTATCTTCATTGATCTCGATCTTTGAAAACTCGACTCTTGAAGGACTTTAATATATACTAACCTTGTCCTACTAGAACTATCAGAGGCCAACTTTGACAAGAAGTCTGCTTATTCATTCTCAGCTCTAGATATTTTGGTCAGTTGAAACCTTTCAAATTGGCTCTTAAGCTCTGAAGCCATAGTTACATATTTTGCAAGAGCTGGGTTTGTCACCTTACATAGGGAGTTCACTTGATTTACCACAAGTTGAGAGTCATTATAAATCTAGATGGCCTTGACCTTGAGCTTAGATGCTAGTTAAAGTTCAAGAAGTAGGGCTTCATACTCAGCCATATTGTTCATTACTTCAAAGTTGAACTTCAAGTCGTGTTCACTTTGGAAATTATTCTAGCCAAGTAGAATTACCCTAGTTCTTGATCCCTTACTGCTGGACACTCCATCTGTTGACGACCACTTGAGATTTTTTTCAAAATAATGAAAAATCAAGTGTGAAAATATAAAAGAAAAAGGAGAGTCGTCACTCGTCCAAATTATAAGGTGAGACAAGTCACCTGAAACGGGTCTGCGCAGAGATCAGGGTTCGAGGGTTCAATTAGGAGTGAGGAAGGGCATACACACACCTCACAATCCTTCGTTTAAACATGGTTGCATACTTTAACATTGGGAGTTTTGATTCAACTTATTTATTACATTTATGTTTGAGTCTTAATAAGCAAACTTGAAAAAGAGATAAACCAAATTGCAACATTTTTAACATTTTGGACCAAAATGGACGAAATCAAAGACATGCATGCACAATGAACACAAGTAAAAATTAAATGGACTAATTTGATTAAAATAAAAATAAAGGACTGACTTGAAAAAATTTAAAACTTTTGAACTAAAGTGCTTGAACATGAACGGATTGTGCGAAATTGAAACAAAAGAGATAACTTCTGATTTTTTTTTACTTTTTTAACCTTTTTAGTTTTTTTTATATATATAATTAATCTATTGGATTGGGTCGGGTCAACCTAACCCACAAACAGAATCCAAGTGAGAAAAT